TATAGAAAAAACCCCTGATTAAGCATTGTTTCAAAACTGAATTATCTAGATTTCACTCTCTATGATGGACCTTTACTCAAAATTAGATGGAAAGTTTGCTGTTCTGAGAAGACTGAATCCAAGAGCTTATTGATTATGTTCCTAGGTTTAATGCTGGATTGTGGCTGCCACTGACTGTTGGCAGTTTCACCACAATCACCGCCACAACCTGCCACAGATGGTTACATCAGATGCCATTTTAAAAATGTGCCAGGAGGCAGAAATGGTAATACAGTATCATTTTGCTGGAAGGTAAATTGGTAAAAGGAAAGGTAAAATGGTGAAACTTGCAACATCTTTGTTCCTGTCTTAAAATATTACTTTTCACAGAGTAAAGAACTTTAATATTTGTTAGGAATGTAAGGGTCATTTCATATAAATTATATTAGGGATATATCCCTGAGAGATACAGTAGGTAGTGAAATTAATCTATGCAGGGCTGCTGTTATTTACTAATTTATGTAAACGGAAGGGTACATCTTAGCCATTTTGTCAAATAAAACTGTTTTTTGGTCCATCAATAGAATTCCAATCTTGCAAAATGATCAAATGTGTCAGCAGATTTCTGAACGGCTCCAACATATAAAGCAGCATGGTGTTAATATTTAAAATAAGATTGAGAGCTGAATTAACAATGCAGAGCGGATGCCCTATCAATTTGAGCTGAGGAACATATTGCTTTTTCCAGTGCCATGCTTATCAGCACCTTGAGGATTTAAGCGCAGAGCATTCTATCATACATCCTGCACCCAAACTTCTTTCATATTTCACGAACATATATTTACTTCTTTTGATGGCAGTCTGGAAATGTATTAATACAAAATACAGACTTTGAAGACAGGGTTTTGCTTATCTTTTAATGCATCATCCGCTAATGTTTTTTTTCTTCTTTAGAAGTGCTCATTCTAGAAAAAGAAGTCACAAGGTGCTTAGATAGCTTTGGAGGCGGCAAAGTATAAGTCAATGACAGCCTGACTGGTACACAGAAAGAAAATTATTACCTTTTCCATCCAACATAATGTGAGTGACATTTTACAAACCACTGTAAGAGTTCTAGGTAAATTTAGTATTTAAAGTTTTTGGAAAATAGTGTACAAATCATGAGCCCTGAATTCAAAGTTATATTGTGAATTTACCATGTTAGCCATGTCTTCTGAGATGATGCAGTGTATAAAATACACATATCTGGATGTCAAAAACACATGGAGGTAACTGTAGGCATCTCCAGAGATGGGAATTCTAGAAACCAAGCTATATAGGATCTGTAATATAACTACAGTTTTTGCTTGATAGTTATACCAGATTACATACGTGTCTCAACTCACACAAATGTAATTTTTACAGAGCAGGTGATCCAGTGTTGTATTTCATGGAATATATACGTATACTGTGTACTCTATATATATTGCATATAGTGTTGTGAAAGAAAAGAAAACTACGCTTGTTTAAAAAGAAAATAGAGAACATAAAATATAAGATGTAAAGCAGCAAACACGGTATGAGATGTTTGTTTTAGTCAAAAACCATGTAAACCAACTGTACTGAGCTCATCAATAAAACATACAACTTAGCATTAACCTCTTTCGCACCGCCCTATAGTAGAACTACTGCTACAGGGCAACAGGACTGTGCAAAATCACATATATATACATGATTTGCATTTCTGGGTAGGGAGCGAGCACGTGCATGCTGCCCTACCTGCGCCACCATTTGCGGCTAAGGATGTCAATCACTGGGTCCAGCCGGAGATTCCCCGTCTGCACCCGGCAATCATTGGAGAAAGCTGACAGGGGAGAGACCTGTGTGTAAACAACACAGGTCTCTCTCCTGCCGGCAAGAGCATGCAACTTTGTATTATTATTATAATAATAATAGAGGATTTATATAGTGCCAACAGTTTGCTCAGTGCTTTACAATATAAAGGGAGACAATACAGCAATGATACAGTTCAATACAAGAGGGTTAGGAGGGCCCTTCTCCTTTGAGCTTACAATATAAAAGGGAGGGGCTGGTACAAGGGGTGGTACAAAGGGGTGGTACAAAAGGTAACAACTGTGGGGGATGAACTGATAGGAGGAATTGAAGCTTCCGTTATTAGCTGAAGGCGGGATAGGCTTCCCTGAAGAGAGAGGTTTTTAGAGATCGCCTAAAAGTGGGCAGAGTAGGCGATAGTCGGATAGATTGGGGTAGAGAGTTCCAGAGGATGGGGGAGGCTCTGTAGAAATCCTGGAGATGAGCATGGGAGGAGGAGACAAGGAAGCTAGTCAAGGGAAGAGATAACAAGGGAGTGAATTTGTTGCTTAGTGGTTTCAGAGGTTAAGAACGGGCGTATCTTGGAGATGTTGTGGAGGTGAAGTCTACAAGATTTGAACAGTGATTGGATTTGGGGGCTGAAAGGACAGGTGGGAGTCTAGGATTGCATATAGTACCCTGGCATGAGGGGAGGGACTGACGGTTGTATTATTGATCTTGATGGAGAAGTCAGGGGAGGGGGCACGGGATGGAGGGAATAGTATGAGCTCCATTTTGGAAAGATTTAGTTTGAGGAAGTGGAGTGACATCCATGCCGATATGTCAGTAGCTTAGTAATGCGAGAGGAGACTGAAGGGGTGAGGTGAGGAGTAGAAAGATAGATTTGTGTCATCAGCATAGAGATGGTACTTAACGCCATGGGAGTATATCAAGTGACCAAGGGAGGAGGTGTAGATGGAGAAGAGAAGGGGTCCAAGGACAGAACCTTGAGGGACCCCTACAGAAAGAGAAAGTGGAGACAGAGTTAACGCTGAAGGAGCACTGCGATAGGTAGGAGGAGAATCAGGAGAAATCAGAATCTCGGGGGCCAAGAGAGTGGAGTTTTTTTATGGAGGAGGGGATGGTCAATAGTATCAAAAGCCTCAGAGAGGTCAAGTAGTAAGAGTACGGAGTAGTGGCCATTGCTTTTAGCTGTTAGTAAATCATTAGTGAGTTTTAGTAGGGAAGTTTCAGTGGAGTGGAGTGAGTGAAAGCCAGATTATAAAGGGTCAAGAAGGTTGTTGTCAGTGAGGTAGGAGCTCAGGCAATTGTAGACTAAGCAGTCTAGTAGTTTAGAGGTAAATGGGAGCAGGGAAATGGGTCTTAAGTTGTTCAGGTTGGTGGGGTCCAGCGAGGGCTTTTTAAATATGGGAGTGATTTGTACATGCTTTAGAGGGGTGGGGAAGTCACCAGTAGAGAGAGAGATATTGAAGATGTGAGTGAGGAAGCATAGGACAGAAGAAGAAGGTGACCGTAGTAGTTGAGAGGGAGGGGACAGAATCCATGTGGTGAGACGGGCTTCTGAGAAAAACTTTAGTGACCTCTTCAGTAGTAGCAAGGTCAAAAGAGGTATGATAAAGAGGACCTCCTGCGCTCAGAACCTAATATAACTATAGAAGGCTGCTAACACCTGCACCTTATTACCTAAAAGTGAAAAAGCAAAAATACATATAATTGGTGTAGCGCACTCTAACTGAACAGTGACTAGAATCCCCAATCGGGATTAATAATGTGACAAATAGTGAAAAAAAACAAACTTATGGTGTCCCAATACTGGATAAAATGGCACAAGTGAATAACCTCAATACAATGTATTGATATATAGTGAAAACACACATGTGATCCCAACACTGGGAGATAAATCCTGCACAAAAAGTGACAAACAAGTGCTCCGTGCCCAAACACTTAAATCCTGTAACAAATTTGTAAATAAATGCCATATTTGCCGGCGTATAAGACGACTTTTTACCCCTTGAAAATCTTCTCAAAAGTCGGGGGTCGTCTTTAGCAACAGTAAATCGTAGACTGCCCATACATTATTCTTTTTTTTTTTTTTGATCAACCAGCGGGTTGAATAAAAAAAAAAAAACATGTCCAGATTTTCCCATCTACACACTCAGTGAGGATGAGGGAATCCTTCCCACTGAGTTATTGTATTCTGACAGTGGGAAGACTTCCCTGCTGTCAGAATACATTGATCAATGCTGCCAGCTACAGCCAGAAGCACTAATTGAGAGGGAAAAATAAGACAGGTTGGTTGTACAAAAGTTGACTGAAATTCGGTTGGTCCCTGTTAAACCAGCAGAATTTTGATCCATGTATGGCCGACTTTAACCATCTCCCGCAAGCCATATAGTAATATGATGGACACAAGGTGGTTCTCTCGTTCTGGGATAATGTCATATGACGTCCTCCCATTCTCACCGCGCATGTGGAGCACGCACCAGTGCGATCGGCGGTGCGCTGTGTCTCTCAGTGCTGCCTATCAATGCCGCCTAACAGTGCCAGTCAGTGCCACCTAACAGTGCCAGTCAGTGCCGCCTATCAGTGCCATATATGAGTGCTGCCTTTCAGTGCCCATCAGTGATGCCGGGCAATGCCCATGAGTGCCACCTATCAGAGTCCATCAGTGCAGCTTATCAGTGCCCATCACTGCAGCCTCATTAGCGCACATCAGTGAAGGAGAAAAACCACTTACCGTATTTGCCGGCGTATAAGACGACTTTTTACCCCTTGAAAATCTTCTCAAAAGTCGGGGGTCGTCTTATACGCCGGTATGCGGCATACTGACACTTTTTAGGGGGGCGGCACGCTGCCGCCACCCCCCCTTCCAACGGAAGGGACACTAAGTACAGGGGTGAGCAGGGGCTGTTTCTTACCTGGCTCCGGTCCCACGATGATCCGGTCCAGGAAGCACGGCTGCTCCTTCAGTTCGGCCACTGAATGTTCGTGCGGCTGCTCGGCTCCGCCTCCTCACCGGTGATTGGCCGCCAGAACTGTAGCTCAGGAAAGGCACACAGGCGGCCAATCACCGGCGAGGGGGCGGAGCCGAGCGGACCCGCAAAAATCGAGTGCAGGACCAGCAGGTAAGTGTTCAGTGTAGAGGTGCTGCTGCAACCACATATGCTGGCTGCAGCAGCACCATACGAGAACAGGGTCAGCAAGTGTCAGTGGGAGGAATAGTGCCCCATCATTGGTGTCACTGATACCAATGATGGAGCACTATTCCCCCCCCACTGACACCAACGATGGGGCACTATTCCCCCCCCCACTGACACCAACGATGGGGGCACTATTCCCCCCCCCACTGACACCAACGATGGGGCACTATTCCCCCCCCCCACTGACACCAATGATGGGGCACTATACTCCCCCCCCCCACTGACACCAATGATGGGGCACTATTCCACCCCCCACTGACACCAATGATGGGGCACTATTCCACCCCCCACTGACACCAATGATGGGACACCATTCCTCCCACTGACACCAATGATGGGGCACTATTCCCCCCACTGATACTAATGATGGGGCACTATTCCTGCCACTGATACCAATGATGGGGCACTATTCCTGCCACTGATACTAATGATGGGGCACTATTCCTGCCACTAATACCAATGATGGGGCACTATTCCTGGATACCAATGATGGGGCACTATTCCTGCCACTGATACCAATGATGGGGCACTATTCCCCCCACTGATACTAATGATGGGGCACTATTCCTGCCACTGATACCAATGATGGGGCACTATTCCTGCCACTGATACCAATGATGGGGCACTATTCCCCCACTGATACTAATGATGGGGCACTATTCCTGCCACTGATACCAATGATGGGGCACTATTCCTGCCACTGATACCAATGATGGGGCACTATTCCCCCCACTGATACTAATGATGGGGCACTATTCCTGCCACTGATACCAATGATGGGGCACTATTCCTGCCACTGATACCAATGATGGGGCACTATTCCCCCCACTGATACTAATGATGGGGCACTATTCCTGCCACTGATACCAATGATGGGGCACTATTCCTGCCACTGATAGCAATGATGGGGCACTATTCCTCCCACTGGTGTGCATTGGAAGAGGGGTAGTCTTATACGGCGAGTATAGCCCAAACACTACATTTTAGCAGGAAAAGTAGGGGGTCGTCTTATATGCCCAGTCATCTTATACGCCGGCAAATACGGTATATAAACCCCTATAAAAATATGATTAATCCAGTAATATATACATGACAGTATTGTGCATAGAAAAAAAATATATATATATTTAAATCTTCAGCAAAATGCAAATCCAATTTGACAATACGTGACACCAGTGTCCACAAATATATAAAAACATGCAGGTGATTCTTGTGCGTTGCTGCCTCTGGTGATGGTTCCACACACACAGCTAGATTGGCTCCTCACCTCCTTACAGTGACCCTAAAAGGGCCTAAAAGCCTTTAGGATCACTCCTGGATCCTCCCAAATCAGATCGTATCCTCCAAACAATTTCACAATAGGGGAAACAGCATATGACTTCCAGACCAAGACCAGCTTGATATTTCCCTTTAAATGGCTCTGATCAATGTGACCAGCTCCCACAGGATCCATAAAGAGAAAAAACTTCCATAGCATGATATCGTTTATTAGCAGTTAAGATGGTTAAAACCAATGCACTCTAATTATGTTACATCTTGTACATAGCCTTAGAACCTCATGTGATGGGTGTACTTGCATGGGTTCTTTTGAGAGTCCAAAGATGGCATCCGCACAGGAAGTGGAAGATCTGAAATAAAGGGAAGTTCTTTCTAACATACAATCATGTCACGTGCAAGAAAAAATGCTGTTTATTTTCCCTTGTATGTTCCTCTCATTTCTAGAGCAACTACACTTTCAGTTCACTTGCAGTGCACTTGCCGTTCGCAGCTTATTTGCCTTTAGTAGGTCAACCCCAATGTGTAGTTTTTTGGATAATGGAAGTATTTGACTGAAGAATCCAAAATAGGTGCCACATCAGAAACCTCCACCAGATGGTCAAAAATACAGGCTTCCCAAATATACCTGTATATGACCCTCTGACATGACATTATACACGCTGGTGGAATCCGCTGATGCTCATCGTTTACTATATGCTTGTGATTGTCTTTTAAGTACATTACCATATTAAAAGCCCTGGGTTTTAACATACTGCACAATGGTGGTCTCTTCTTGTTTTTAACTCCTCTGCACTGAGTACACTTACACAGGATTGTATCCAAATGGAGTGGTGTGTCTGAATATTTTGTGCTGAGGGACAGCACGGTGCTTCATGATCTCTATGTGGGATCAGTGTCTCTGGTAAGGAGTTCACCTTACATGTGGGTGGTGTGATTTCCTGGCACCCTCTATTCTTGCAGCACTGAATGCTCTCCATCTTACACTTTGAAGTGTGTCTTCTTTTCCTTTGGGATTTTCCATCTTGATTTTGGACTGTTAACCAGGATATTTATTCATCTGTACGGACATTTTGCACATTTGGTTGCTTTATTCATCTTCAACTTTGCAATATTTATGCTTGTTCATTTAACTTTTGTCCATGTGTACATTTGTCCATCTGTATGCATATACACTTTTATAATGTTTTTTTCTATTTTGAGAGTGGAGTATTGGATTATATCTCATACACCTTTTAAGTTTGCGTGTTTTTGACATATTTAGGCATCTAGCTTATTATTGTCCATACACAAATTTGTCCATATGTATGGATATACTGTATACTCTTCTAGGTTTATATTTTATTTTTATTTTTTTTAAAGTTGAGAGTATGGTGTTTTGACACATCCTTATTTGTGATGTTTTGTTTTTATATTTATTTAGATTATTGCATATATTGAGCTCAAATTATCTATTTTTTCTATAATAATATGGTTTGATATTGTATGCACAATTGCACTTTGGAATTTTTAAGAGACAGCGCACCCCCTTTTCAAGAAATTCTTTCTCTACCCAAGTACTGTATATGGGTGGATGTTTTCTTGGTTTCATACAGTCCATCTTACTGTATCCTTAGGCCCAATGCACACAGGGAGTTTGCCCAGCTCTCCTAAGCGCCTTTTCTCCTAGCAGCAGCATTTTGGCAGAAAAATGCTTGTTGAGTGTAATCTCACCATTGAAATTACGCCTAGCGGTAATGTGCATTAAGCCAGGGCTTAAAATTTCAAGTCTAGATCTACTAGCCAGGCACAAACCTTACTCTCCACCAGTTGCCCCCACCCAACCTTGCCCAGGTCCTCCCTCAACCCCACCCCTGGCCCATCCCCCAACCCTGCTCCCAGCCCGGCCCCCAACCACGCCCCCTTTAAGTTTATGAAATTACTTTTTTCTTTAGAATAAAGAGTCCAAAATATAAAAAACTGCAATAATAACATAGCGTTATTATGTCAATTTAAACATAACAGCAATAGCTTAATAGCAATAGGATGCAATCAAAATATCAAGTTTTACAGATTTAAACCTGTAGTAAACATTTTGTATTTTTTTGTTTATCTCCTGCATCTTTAAAAAGAGACTTTAGGGGGCGCATGCGCGGCCGGCACCTTGATGGACGTGTACTAGGTACTGCTCCGTCCATCCGCCAGCGGTAACACGGCTCACACCGACTCTGGGGGTAAACAATACCCTACCTGCACACCCGACCTCTGCCCGCACCTCCACTGCCATGCCCCGCCGGAGAAAAAACCCGGAGCAGCCGGGGAAACTCACAAAATTCTTCCCGGCCGTCATGCCGGGAATCCAAGATGGCGCCCGCAGCAGCACTACACAGGGAGACAGCAGCGGCCACGAGGAGGACTACAGGGCCCAGCAAATGGATCCGAGGCTGCACCATTCGTTGTACCCGGGGGACCCTGGTGAGTTGTCACCCCCACTGTCCCCCACAACCAGTAGCCCAGCCAAATCCCGGCCGCGACTTGACCAGGACCCTGACTTCTCATACCAGGCCTTAAACATCTCACCTCAACCACCCCCTGCAGCCCACCAGATATAGAGGCATTTCCCACAGGTGACCAGCCACTAACAGAAACATCTATGAAAAGCATGCTCACAGCATTGCGTCAATCTCTGCATAACGATATCCTCACTTCCCTAAACCAAATTTCTAGCGTGGTACAATTACAAGAACGCAGAATACACCACATTGAGAGAAACATGGGAGACATAATATCGGCACATAATGATTTGATTGATGCTCATGCGGATCATACATCTGACATTGAACAAATCAACTTAAAACTGGCCGACTTAGAAGATCGATCACGTCGTAACAACAACATTAAACTCAGAGCAATCCCTGAATCAGTTACAAATGAGTCACTCCTACCCTACCTACAACAATACTTCAAACTCCTTCTTCCATCACTTTCGGATCTAGAGCTGGCGATCGATCGTGCCCATCGATTACCTAAACCCTCCTTTCTATCGGCTTCTATCCCAAGAGATGTACTGACCCGCATACATTTCTATCACGTCAAAGAGAAAATCATGATGGCGGCTAGGAACCCGCCACCACTCCCGCCATCACACGCAAACCTCCGCTTGTATGCGGATTTATCCAAAGCCACGCTCCTTAACAGGAAAAAAATGGTATCTATTACCAAGGCCTTAAGAAACCATGGCATTGCCTACCAATGGGGCTTCCCCACGAAATTAATAGTACGACGGCAAGGCAGAATCCTCACTATTAAAACCCTGGAAGCAGGCCTGGACCTGCTCTGAGCCTGGAACATCATCCCTGCGGATATACAGGATACTACATCTAATTCCGCCCATCATATGGAGGCATCATAATTGATAACGCGGCTCACCTCTTGTCCGGGTACACCCAGGCCTTCCCCCCCAGAGGCCACCTCTCAACAAACAACTTTCTGGCGATCGGCCTAGACCTGATGAAGTTCCCCCTACGTGATTACAGTTGGCGTGACCCCTTAGGTGGTCAAAGCCCGGTTAGACCCCCCACTCCTGCAGTAGCACTGTTAGCTACTTGGCTTACTTGCGTTTTTTGCAAGTGTGTTTTTACTGTCCTTTATGTCCCTATCTCCCCCTTACTACGGCACCATCAGCTATCTACATGTAACCCAAAAGATGGAAAAGATCCCGAGTCAACAAGGAATACCCATCCTACACCCCCAATCGAGCCTAATCTATACTACAAGCACCCTAATACCTTTCTTCTCCAAGAGACTTCTGAGTCCCAATTCTCTCAAACAACAATCCTACCAATTATATATCTCGGGAAAACCCATAACAATGATTAATATTACGTCTCTTTAATGTCAGAGGCCTAAACTCTCCCTTTAAGAGATCGCTGCTCTCCAAAGAAGCCCAGAAATCCCAAGCCGACATACTGTTTATACAAGAAACCCACTTTGCCACAGAAAAGACACCCAAACTACATCTCCACCGCTTCTCCCAATTATTTATAGCGTCCAACTCCAAGAAAAAGAATGGAGTCATAACAGCCATTAATGACTCTCTATCTTTCCGCACTATTTCAACAACATCGGATCCACAAGGACGTTACTTTATCCTGGTTTGCCAGATAAACGACATAACCCATACCCTCGTGAATGTGTACGGCCCGAATAGCAAACA